ATGGTTCTCCCACTGCCTGTTCCCCTCCGGCTGAAATATGACATTTCAGAAGCTGCTGGAGCCCCAAAGAAAGTGGAGAAGAAATGGCAGCCCGCGGGGAGCCAGGGCAGAGGGGACACAGACAGGAGGCACAGGGGACTGGGGAGGGGGAAATGAAGGGACAAGTAGAAAGGAAATAAAGAAGGTCCCCTCGAGCTAGCTCACTTCCCACTGAGGCTGACATTTGGGACACTGTGGGAAGTTGGAGAAGGGGGGCCAGGGGAGGCTGGCAGAATGTGAAGAACCAACACTCGCCCGGAACTCTCTGCTGCCCGCCCCACCCTCACCCCCTGCCAAGGGCAGTCTCATGTTTGGAAGGCTTTCTCTTCGTGCCTCCCCCTGGGGATCTTTGTGTATCTTTACCATCCTCAGGTCCCACCATCCCACCCTCTCCCAGCATCTATTACTCCAGATCCTGCTCCCAGCTGCTCCCAAAGCCCCTTGATGTCCCTCCACCTGTGTCTGAAGAAAAGGTTAATAGAAGCAATGAGGACATGCAAGAAACAGATTTATGCATATCAACAGGGCGGATCTCGTTTCCTCACTTCTTCTCCACCTTTCCTATGTCCTTTTGTGATACTCGTTCAGCACCCCACTCCTCATCGTAGGTTCCCTCCATGAAGCAGCTCACCCCCTCCCCAGCAGACTTCCTATTCTCCTCCAGCACCCCACTCCTCATCTTAGGTTCCCTCCATGAAACAGCTCACCCCCTCCCCAGCAGACTTCCTGTTCTCCTCCTCGCCTTTGCTCTAGCAAAGATCTGGATTTGCAGCAGGAAATGGACACGTTCCAGTTGATACATTCCAGTTCCTCTGCCTTCCCACCTTCCCACCCTGCCTCTGCTATTTTCTCCTCCAGCTCCCTTTCCCCAGGTCCCCCATTGTTCCCCAGCACCTCCAGGGAATCACCTATCATGGTGGATGAGTGTGAGCTCACAGCCAGGCCTCCCCCATCTCCCCGTGATCCCCTATCATGAAGCCTGCACCCATCTCTGTCTCTCCCCCTCCACTCCCACTCCTGTGGCCGGCCTCTCCTGCTCTCGAAGCCTGACCACTCCACCAGGTCTGACTCTGTTTCTTTTTCAGTCCCCCTACCTCAACATCACGTTCTTTTCCTGTACCCTGTTGCTCTACCTGTAGGCACCCTAGGGCTAGCTGCAGCTCGGGGATCTACCAGGGACGGATCTCTGTTGGTAAAAATGCAAGTACTTCAGATACACTCCTGACCGAGGAGTTAGAATATGTATTTTTAACAAACTCCTCTGATGATCCTTACGTGCACTGAAGTTGGAAAACCACTGAGAAGGCAACAGTCGGAGGACTCGAGTTCTCCCTCCACTGCTGTCACGCTTGGGCGCTCTTCTCCCCAAACACCCCGTCAACCCCGTTTCTGTCCCCTCCCCCTCGCACACTTATTTCTAGGTATACATTGATGTTCTAGAGAAAGATTAGAAACCCCACGTCCACCCGAGGTGTAAGATCAGAGCCCTCACTCTGTACTCTATTTCTCCCTGACCTGATCCCTTAAGTCTCCGGGACCACAATCAAAGATAAATTTGAGAATGGCCCAAATCTCCCTCCTTCCTTCTTCACATTCTCCTC